CTCATGGCGGCGATGGCAATGTAACAAATAGGGAGGGTGGTTGATGAGCCCGTGGAATTGGGGGTGTGTATATAGGGGGATAGAGAGAGAGTGAAAGAGAGAGAGAGAGAGAGAGAGAGAGAGAAAGAGAGAGAAGAGGGGGACTATGCATTTCCTTTCATTTCATAAGATAATTATCTCGGACTAGCTTCTCTTGAAACTCCTCATTTTGTGGTAAAAGATGCTTATTTTTTTCTTCTTCACGAAGCCTCATCATAATGGAATTAAAAACACAGTTAACATTATAACAGGAGAAGGCAAAATGAAACAAAACACATACAACACAACAAAAAAAACAAAAAAAAAAACGCAACAACAAAGCAAACAAAGTAAATCAAAATCATATACATTCATATTGCATTCCCAAAGAAAAACAAGGATTTCTAGTTCACTTGTTTTGACATACGTGTAGCAGTGTGGGGGAGTAACCAGGGGTATCGTTTCACTTTAATACGAAACATCAGTGGCGTTGCGAGTGTTCATTTATAAGGTGGGGGGGGGGGGGGCAATGGCATCAAGTAGGGGCGGTGGTGGTGGGGAGGGGGAGGGTGGCACTGTAAAGTAGATACAATGTGAGGGAACAACGGTATAGAAATAGGTGGTAATTATGAGGGGGGTGTCACATCTTCTTTTCACGTTGCATTTCCTTTTTTGTTTCCTTTTTCTTTTTATCCAACACAATAGGAAGTAATAAAACCTTGACTTATACATCACCTTTTGGGATAACTGAGCACTACAAAAACAATTTCTAATAGGAATATAATCTCTTTAAAGGCATTGTTTAACAATGCCAAATCTGAGATGCACATGGCCCTACGTGTTATCGGCGTCTGTGGTATGGTGTAATATTGAAGCCCTAAAAAAATGCGCCTCAAAATGATCATGAAGAGCCTTAAAAAAGTAACATTTTCGAGTGATCGGTTTTACCATACTCATTTTCTCCAATAGACTGTAGCGTTATAACAAAAGTTGGGAAAATGGTTTTTGAAACTTTGAATTCCAATCATAAATATCTTGATAATCAAACGGGCGATCAGCTTGTAAACGTCATGGGATTCCTGACTGACCTAAAAGTTTATAATTACCATTGCAGCATGAGCTAAATCCGGGATTTTGTTTAGAATCTGAGACAAAGATACCCAATCCCTTTAAGCAGTACAGAGGTATTAAAAGTGTCCTTAAGTTTGATTCCTCGAAAGTCTTGGCGATAGGCTATTCGAGGAAAAGGTGGGGGGGGGGGCGGAGGGCGTGTTGTTCTAAGACTCGCCTGTGAGCATAATAATCATAGCAACCATAATTATATTGGGTCGGCATTGACCTTATAAGAACAATGAGAAACCCGTCACGCTTGCAAATAAAATCTCTTTATCATTTTATGCGAAATAATTATTGTCTCATATAAACGCATAACTGTGGTTGCATTGTAATATAACTGACGTGTCCTGACTTTACGCTCTATCTGCATAGCGTGCAACCTAACAGACATTCCATAACTTCGGACGCCGACTCGAAAAACTGTGGTATGATCATCATAAAATCATATTGACTTCTCGGGAATAAACGTAGTTATGTTTTGAGGAAAAGAAGGAACTTAACATCATCTTAAGAGACGATGTTTATAATATTAAGAGACGATGTCTAAATACTTATTATGTTTATATTTCATTTGATTAAACACATTCAATAATTCGTCAGTTATGCAATCCCTATTTTGATTGAGCACATGACCTTGTCGGAGATTAATATAAACAAATGAAGAAAGAAGCTAATTTTGAGTTTCGTTTGGCGTCAACTTTTTAAAGAATAATTGTTGGTTCATCAATAATTTTCTCATTATATGCAAATCATACAATTTCGCAATAGTATATGGCTGCGCTTTTTATTATTATTATTATTATTGACAGACTCATTAAAAGTATTATACAAATACTGAATAACCAGAATGCATTAATCGGCGAATATAGACCTTAGTCATGAGTAATGTAATGGTAATAGAGTTGTTGTTGGAATTAATAATACTTAACATAAAGAATTTTAATTGTCTCTAAATACCACCTTTTCAAGTTTTTGAAGTCGACTTTTAACCTATCGTTTATACCACCGTTATCTGGTTGTGATTTCCATTAATGGCGTGAAAAATATTAAAAAGTAATCGTCATTTACGCGGCTTGATTAAACGTTTGTTTTTCCTCGGGGAGGAGGGCGGGAAGGGGGGGGGGGGGGGGTGTTGCAGAAATAATGACCCTTTTGACCGCTACAAATACGCAAGTGGTTGCATTTTTGTTGGACTGAAATGATTAAAATGCAGTCTTTTCTGAATTGGAACATTCACTTTTCTCAAAAGATTGATTTAAATCATTTTGATATAAGTAATACTAATACAAACTGGAATAAAATAAAAATTATTCAATTGGTTTTGTTTCAAATACTGGTTTGTGTAAATAATAAGAATATTTTAATATCAGTGTGAAAAAAGAAGAGAGCAAGCTCGTATATACATATCTCTCAACAATTGAGGGCGCTATATTACTCATGAACCACAGTTGTATGTGTTTGTATTCATTTATTAGAAAACTTCATTCACATGGTACATAAATATTCTTTTGGAATACATAGGCATAGTAATTACTACAAGTATGGAAAAATCATTTTAAAAATACATTGTATACAATTATTTGCATACACTGTACAATGTGTGCAAATTAGTGAGTTGATGATGTAATCCCCTCACTTGTCTCTATCCGTTGTGTATATAATATAATAGATTATATACCTCACTTAAGAAGTCCAGCCATCTGATTGGTCGAAATTGCATTCATAAACTTTAACTATTCCTGTATTCCTTGGGAAGGTTACAATTGGGCTATTGCCCTCGGCACGCCTCGGGCAATTGCTCAATTGTAACCTTCCCTTGAGCGTATAAAAACAACTATTTCTCTCAAAGCAGTCATTAATACTATACTATTAATTTTCTGCTCTGGGAATATCAAACATGGCTTGAATCTTCATGGAATATGTGCAGAATCACCACTTTTGTAACTTATTGTAGCATGAAAGGGTAACAAAATTATAAGTGTATCAAAAAAGAAAAAAAAATATGTATGGGGAATATATCCTGCATATATCCTGCTATCCTGCATATAGCATATGTGCTACATATCACCGTTTCATTACATTGTGTGAACAATTAAATACCATAACTTTCTCACCTTTCGTTTGGTTTTGATGCACCATTTTGTTTGTTTGTTTTTCTCTGTTTATTTAATTCAAGTTGCAAATGGTTCGGACTTGATCTTTAAACATGGAAATCGTTTGTAAAGGGAAAGGGGAAGGGCAATTATACCCCAAATTTGCCATTACTCATATTTCTAACAAGAGTGCTTGAGAAGAAAAAAAAGAAGGATATTGCCTAGTTGATCCGACGTTTCTTTGAAACGCCATATTTTGAAGTATAATACTTGGATAGGGTTTATCGTTGTGGTTTATGGACTTGGGAAGAAAGCCATTTTCACCAACCCTATTACATTTATGTTCATCTCTGTATACGATTCATCTTTCCCCTTTAGCCTTATTTTTCTCACTTATTTCGAGGATTCATTGATTCAGAAATGTATCCGTTCGGAAGCGGAGATGGAACGGAAAACAATATAATCGAATTATTTCCATTAAATTTTCAAGATCTATTACTCCCCTGCAACCTGGAAATCTTCAACACACACGTCAAAATGTGGAAAATGTTTGCGCAAAGAATAAAACTAAAACATCGAGCGAATGAAGTAAACCGAGTGATACCATCGTATGCACACTAATCGAATGAAACGTATGCATGGTCCAGATTGATAAAATGCTGATTTTGAGGGGAAAAGAAAGAATAATATAAAGAATGCGTAGTTCTTTCATTGGTCAAACACCAGTGGCACCAGTCAGACCAACATCAGATTGGACAAAAATTGCATTACCACGAATCGGTCGAATTATAATAAAAGTCGAGTCGCTTTGGCGTGTGCCTGAGGTATCATGCCGCGTCAACACGACATCATCATGGGTTTAGATAAAAGGAAACTTCGACTTGAGATATAAGTGAACAGATGGGTGTAAAGACGACCAAAACACTTTAACAAATGATATGGGTGTACATGCGAGGATTTTCGATGCCCACTATCTCTAAAGTAATCAATGTAAGAAGGCGATGGTCTTCTGTGTGCCAACGCACTCACACAAACTTGCTAATACCGTGACGTGGTTATGACGATCACTTTATACTTTAACTGTTGCATGCATGTATCCACCATATCAAGAGAAATATGCACACGCATGGATGATCAATATGGAATATTGGTATACGTAGAATGAACAAAACATTGAGAATCTTTCCTCGCATAGGAAGCCGTACATCAATTTTACATGACGCGGGCTTTTGGTAGCCGCATCCGAGAAGAATCCAGGCACGGGAAAGGAAGAGCAACCTAACCGACAGGCCGATTCCAACTTTTGCGAAGTTAGTCATTTTGTCATCTTTTTGCTGCCAGGATCTTTTCACAAATTCTGACTGAAAGCAAAAAGTATAGATAATTGAAGGAGAAGGATTAATGGTGACCGGTTGAAGACGAGAGCGAATTGTGATTCCTGAGGTCTGATTTTCGGATCCGTTTTGTTCGCGTGCCCCTTTTTGTTTTGTGTGCTGTATATTTCAGAACACCAACATTAGCAGCTAGAGGAAGAAAACAAGACTGAAATGGAAGCCGACGGGATGTCTGAAAATAGACGGTACATTTAGGAGTTTGGTTTTGAACCAAAGACTTCCAGGATCCAAGATAGCTTAATTGTTCATCATCCTTAACATCGAGTTAAGAATCAGTATTAGTAGATTTGTCTCATTAGTTCAGTAACGACAAATTGCACCATTTTCTTTTCATTTAGTGCGCTTGTTTCCGAAGTAAGTAGCATTCAATAAAACCAAAATGAATTCTACATCAAGAATGGATTCTGATGCACTGCTTGAAAACGATAGTTCATCTCTGCGGCATGAATTCCTTGTTGTTGTGATGACCATCACCGCAATTGTCATTTTGGTTGGAAACGGTCTCGCCATTTGGGCTGTCTACAAAAACCCTGTTTTGCAAACTCCCAAAAACTACATTCTCGCAAGCCTTGCAGTTACTGACCTTTTCTCCGGCTTGATATCCATCCCACTGGAGCTGTACAACCGTCATGAAGAAACCACATGCTCTTTCCTGCTCACCTCTGCCTTGTCCTTACTATCCTACATGTTTGGACTCATCGCTGCCCTGCACTACATCGCCGCGACGACCGACCGTTATGTTGCAGTCACCAGACCCCTTCGGTACGCCGTACTGATAACGACTCAAAGAGTTGCCATGTTCGTCGGGCTTTCCTGGGTGGCAAGCGTCATCATCATCGGAATAGCGTTTGGGATCTTCAGTTCCGTGTCGGCCGAAACACCATCTATACGCTGCAGCGGAGTGCACTACACTGATCCGGTGCAACAGGGGATTCTGTACTTTGTCGCCGTTGCTATAACTTTGTTTTGTATCACTCTGTTGATCTTAAACCTGAAGATCCTCCAGATTGCCATACACCAGTCACGCAGAATCGCTGACGTCCAGATGCTGTTCGGACCACGGGATGGCACGCCAGGCAAAGTGAAGGCGGTGAAGACCACCCTGGTCATCGTGGGTGTCTTCTGTATCTGTTGGTTACCTACGATCCTCTCGCACATCCTCGCTGTCACTGCAGACCTGCCAAAAACGGTTTACATCACCATTTTGGACGGATCTTTCGTCATGATATCCTTTTCGTCCGCGATTACTCCGTACGTTTACTGTTTCCGAGACAGGCCTTTCCGCCGTGCCTTTCTAGAAGGAGCTGAACCTTTCATCAAGATTTTCCAGAGGAAGTCCGAATAAAATCACCACGGACCATCGTTTGTAACAAAGTACAAGCACCTTGAAGTTTTTTGACATTTCTACCACCTGGAATTTCATCATCAGATGACTACCAACCGGATAATTACTCCTTTTGGGATTTGTTACCATCCGTTCAAGTATCCCCGGATGTTTACCCCCTCCCAGGACAACTGTTCCAAGATTACCTTCCGGACAACTATACCACCAGAATTGTTTTTGCAATCGGGCAGTTACTGCTACAGCCCACGTACGACACCGACAGCCCGCGGGACCGAGGGGTATTGGTTTTAGGGGCCGTCGGTCTCATTAGCTTCCGGTTTACCTAGGAATGTCTTAGAAACCTTGGATTGGTTGTTTTCAGGGGGTTGAGGATATTTGACAGGGTACTTAATAATTCTATATCAACAAATTATCTGGCCGTTAGCATTCGTGGTGATGGGATCTTGATGTAATCTTTGATCTGAGTACGGAATCTGAATGATGTAACATTGATGATAAATAAGATATCTAAATGGACTGCAAGTTATCAGAACCCATCGCCATTAAACGTCGAGGCACGAAAACGGTGTTTTTATTTGTGCGTTTTGGGGGGGTTTATTTTTGATAAAATTTTGGGGAAAAGAAACTGGCATTTGAAGTGTATTTAAAGCCACCTGCGTTAAAGTGAGACTTTTGCGTATGTTTACATTTTAGTTAGTTTGTATAATAATTTGGTCCTATGTTTTTCTGTAAAATAATCTCTTAAGCGTTTGTTGTAGTGAGATTCACAATTCTGGAATATTTTCTTGCATGTATTAAAACTAACTATTGTGTAGTGTTCATTTTTTCAAATTGCCAAATCATTATGATGTTTGTGAATCAGTGTAAAATTATTACAATTACATGAAAACTTAACATGAAATGAGAGCCGCTGTTTTTTATGTTTGTTTTTTAAATTTAATCTCATCGCAAGGATTAAACAAGTGTTAATAAGGTAATGGGAGGTTTTCAGTCTCTGCCTTTAACAAAAAAATGTGACGCATATTGGCGTTTCAAGAACACGTAACGAAAGATTTCGTCTCTTTTTTACTTATTAGTATTCTTTTTGTTTAGTGCTATAAAATTTCCACTGCTTAGAATAATTTCTTAATCATAATGTATCACCTGAGAAGTCTGAAACCAAAGAGTTCTGTAGAATGGATAATAGTAGGGTGATCACACTGCCTGTGCACACAGTCTGCCCCGCGAACACACACACACACACACACACATACTTGTATAGGCCTTAAAACGCGGACATGTATTTCTTACTGTACAATCGTGGACATCTTTATTCAATGGCGCATGCGGACCAGATGCTAGATTATAGTTACATTTGGTACGACCATTACGAAAACACCAAGAAAGAAACTCTGCGGGCCTTCTGGAGAGATATGTTTTCCACATCCAAACTGTGGACGTACATGTATGCACATACCCTTATAGCCATCATATCCAAATGTGGACCCTGACTCCTAACAAAACACGGACCTAAGAAGACCATACTAACGTGGACACATTTTGAAAATTCAGGCAATTATGCATAATTCAAACGAATGTGACTTAAGTATGCGTTTCGGACGATGATGGAAAACAATAATAGATGTTTATGTGATAATAATAATGAGAAAACAATATAAAAAAATAATTATGAGAAAAAAAATAATAACAATAATAATCATAATACATGTAATAACGTTACTACTAATAATAATGGCAATAGTAACAATAAGGATAATAATAATGGTAATGGTAATAACAATAATAATAATAATAATAATAATAATAATAATAATAATAATAATAATAATAATAATAATAATAACATTTATAAGGCGCTTTGTACGGGTGTTTCAAAGCGCACATGTGGTCTGTCTAATCATAATACCGTTAAAAAAATCAATACATAATTAATAATAAACAAACTACTTAATTATAAACTAACTTGGTGTGCACCTCCAACAATATACTACAAAATTAAATTATAGCTGCTTAAATAGGTGGGTCTTGAGAAGGGATTTAAATGATTCAACAGATTGGGCATTTTGGATGTGAGGTGGAAGTTTATTCCAGAGGGTAGGGGCAATGGGGGAGAAGGCAGTCCCCATATCGGGTTTTCGTACGTGGGCCGAGAGTGAATTGTAAGGAGGACGATGAACGGAGGGATAATACATAATAATACATAATAATTACATTAATAGGGCACTTTAACCACGGTGGTATAATCAGTCGCATAGGGGTCCACGGTTGTAGGTTTGTAAAGAATAGGTGTGTACTGCCAAGCCTTAAGTCCACGGTAGCATAGTCTTAAAATACAGGGGTCAACTGTAGCCTAACGGCTAATGTGCAAGGGGTAATAATAGCAGGGCCCTCTAGGATAACAGTTCGAAGAACTGAAGAGGCAACCCTGGGTATAAAAACACTATTATTACTATTATTATTATTATTATTATTATTGATATAATAGTCTGTAAATAGAGGTCCACAGTTGCAGGTTTGTAAAGAAGGTGTGTGTACTGCCACTGTCAGGTCTAACGTCCACGGTGACATGGTCTGTAAATAGAGGTCCACTGTTGCAGGTTTGGAAAGAAGAGGTGTGTATTGCCAGGTCTAACGTCCACGGTGACATGGTCTGTAAATAGAGGTCCACTGTTGCAGGTTTGGAAAGAAGAGTTGTGTATTGCCAGGTCTAACGTCCACGGTGACATGGTCTGTAAATAGAGGTCCACTGTTGCAGGTTTGGAAAGAAGAGTTGTGTATTGCCAGGTCTAACGTCCACGGTGACATGGTCTGTAAATAGAGGTCCACTGTTGCAGGTTTGGAAAGAAGAGTTGTGTATTGCCAGGTCTAACGTCCACGGTGACATGGTCTGTAAATAGAGGTCCACTGTTGCAGGTTTGGAAAGAAGAGTTGTGTATGCCCAGGTCTAACGTCCGCGGTGACATGGTCTGTAAATAGAGGTCCACTGTTGCAGGTTTGTAAAGAAGAGGTGTGTATTGCCAGGTCTAACGTCCACGGTGACATGGTCTGTAAATAGAGGTCCACTGTTGCAGGTTTGGAAAGAAGAGTTGTGTATTGCCAGGTATAACGTCCACGGTGACATGGTCTGTAAATAGAGGTCCACTGTTGCAGGTTTGGAAAGAAGAGTTGTGTATTGCCAGGTCTAACGTCCACGGTGACATGGTCTGTAAATAGAGGTCCACTGTTGCAGGTTTGTAAAGAAGAGGTGTGTATTGCCAGGTCTAACGTCCACGGTGACATGGTCTGTAAATAGAGGTCCACTGTTGCAGGTTTGGAAAGAAGAGGTGTGTATTGCCAGGTCTAACGTCCACGGTGACATGGTCTGTAAATAGGGTCCACTGTTGCAGGTTTTGTAGGTTTATGCATAATTCATCCGAAAAAAAATTACAAGCAGGAAAGAGGTGGGGGCCGGGGGGGGGGGATTTCCAGCTTCATTTGCTCACTTATATAGAATAGAATATATAGAATATACAGGAAGGCCTAAACTCTGATTGAGTATTCACCCCCCCCCCCCCCCCACCATCGCTCCGCTTCCTTGGATTATCTCGAGAATATTACGCACGCACACACACAAGTCCATCAACATTATCTCATCATCATAGTGATCAGCATCATTATCACCTTCATCACCCTCATCGTCATCAACATCACATTATCATAATCACCATCATTACCGTCATCATAATCACCATCATTGTAATCGTCAACATCATCGTAATCATTATCACCATCATCATCACAACCATTATCATCATAAACATCATCATCGTCACCATCATCATAAACATCATAATCATCATCACAACCATCATAATCATCTTCATTATCATCATCATCATCATCATCATCACCACAACCATTATCATCATCGTCATCAACCGTATCACGATCATCTTAATGATGATGCAGTATTCATTTTGTGAATTATATTTTTATGGATAAACTTTATTTCTTTGACAAAATCCAGTATGAGAGATGGCATAGCAAGGTCATTGAAGAATACAATATTTGACACAAGGTATACTGAAATGTTCCTGATGAGATGTATAGAGATTCATGGATTCCAGCTAATAAAGACAAATTCCAAATAAAGACAAATATAAATAATAAACACAGTCAAGTAAATATAACAAGTAAACATATAGCAGTGGCTTTCTGCTAAAAAGTAAACATATATTGTAACATTCATTCATTGTTTGTGTAGCTAAAATTTGTCATGTTGTCTATCAATAAAGACTAAAAATGAAAACAAGTAAACATACATGAAGCAGTGGCTTTCTGCTGAAAAAAAATAATAAAAAATAATAATAAACACTTGTAAAGAGCAGTGGCTTTCTGCTATAATAACACTGGTAAACATAGCAGTGCCTTTCTGCTGAAAAGAAAAATAAATAATATCACTAGTAAACATACCAGTGGCTTTCTGCTGAAAAGAAAAATAAATAATATCACTAGTAAACATAGCAGTTGCTTTCTGTTGAAGACAAATATGAAAAATAAATAATAAACACTAGACACAGCAGTGGCTTTCTGCTGAAAATAAAAATAAAAAATATCACTAGTAAACATAGCAGTGGTTTTCTGCTGGAAACAAATATGAAAAATAAATAATAAACACTAGACATAGCAGTGGCTTTCTGCTGAAAAGAAAAATAAATAGGGCGAGTCCAAGGTAATGTCCCCTCAAATAACAAATTTTCAACTTAAAGTGGAAGAAATGTAACATACATCATCAAAAACCTAGTAATTTCAAGTTTCTGAATCAAAAAAGAAAATGTTGAAAATATGCAAATTGGTCTGTTTTCTAAAGTGTAATAACCTTTTCATTATTTTGATAGTAATCAACCACTTTCAAGATAACATTTTCTTCTACACCTGTATCTACATGTACATTAGTTAAGAAATAAATGAATCGATAAAAACTAACTTTTCTACGAAGAAAAATACTAAGGAGATGGCAT